AACAAGCACTCGATGAGAAGGATTGCACAAAGCAGCAATAAAACATTCACCGATAGAGAAGACGACAAAGAAGCAAAAAAACTTTAACTTGCTCAATGAAATGAATTTTATATGGAGTACACAGGTCGATATTTATTTCTGTATGATTTAAAATGGTTAGGATCGTTTAAAGATCGACAGTGACTAACAACGAGATATTTCAGTGCATCTTTATTCTATGATTCGATTACTGACAGTTAACAGCCCACAACTATTCTAAAAAATATTTGCACATTATTTTATGGTAAAATATATAAAATGTATATTATCATAAATATGAGATAATATTTCTTTCAAAATGATACAAACATTGACAATTTTCAGTACAATTCATTTTTTAATTTAAGTAGATATTTTATAAGATTCGACATTTCATCGTATTTCTCAATAAAAAAGAAGAAAAAAGAAAAGCATTCAACTTGTTCATTTGAACTTGGACTTTAAAAATATTAACATTCCCAAAGAAATCCTGAGATCAAAACTTGGTTTATTTTTTACCTGATTCTTATGAGAAAAGCCGATCTTTGAATGTAGTATAATATGAATCCAAAAACTGAAATACTAGGTCTAGACTATTTTAAATTCTGGTGAATATATGTGAGATCTTTTTGAAGGTATTCTGTCGACTATGGAAGAATCAGACAACTGTATGACACACATGATAATGTAGACATATCTTGAAGTTTTCTTTTGATAAATTCTCATAATGAAAAGACACTGATCGATAAAAACGAAATCGACATTAAAAGAAATCTCTAACGATTTTTTCATAAGTAGATCGGTAATCTATATTCTAGTAAACCAAAATTCATCTATAGAGGAGACATATTTAAGAATTTTTGCTCGAAAAAACTATTATCGAAGTTCATTATTTTCAAAACAAATTTTATTCGATTTCACTTGTTAGAACTTCAATATTCAATATCATCTCTTTTAGAACATACAATACAGTTCTACAAAATAGTACATCGTTTTTTGGTCGAGAAGATCGCTTTTGATCAATATTACTTGTGTAAAAAAACGAAAGGTGTTAAAAAAATTATCTTATTCAATTTATAAAAAAATGATGACCTATTTATCAATAAACGTTTTGAAAATTAACATTCATTCAACGTTTGGATTGAAAATTAAGAATAACTAAAATTCCATCAATATTTATCTATACGTTTATCACATCATGTTTTTACAATATGTCTATGAAACGACCTAATAGTAGCTGTGTGGATATGGATGTGAGTGGCTCCTCTTCAAACACACAGCTACCTCCTACATATCCATTACTTTCTATATTTCCATTAGCAAAAGGGTATGGGTGCGGGTGCGGGGTGGCTGGAGTGTGGTTGAAGAGAAATGCGAGACCCATATCCACACCCACACCACCTACACCTACACCCACACGCGCACTCACACCCACATTAAATACCAATAGAGTATATTTTATATAGAGATACATTTCTTCATTAATCTTCTATGAATAATTTCAAAATTATATGAAAATACAAAATAAAATTTATTTATTGTGTCTTTATATTCACTACACAATAATAAATGACCATAAGAAAGCATAGAGAATATTTTTAATAGAACACAACTGATAAATACAAATGAATATATTTCTCAAATGAATATCTGAAATGCTCAGATACGAATAAAGCAAAAGAATAGTTCTTTTTTTTTATAAAGTTATTTTTATAATACAAGATTCAAGTAATTCTTCTGTTGTTAACACAAACTATTTTGCATTATGCATTTTCTTTTTCAAACAATAACTAAGTTTTATTTGATATTAAGGATATGATCATACAAATGCACACGCTGTTCTTTTTCTTCTCGTTCACATCTACGAAAAGAAAGAGAACTGATAAAGACCAGTCCCAATTCTGAGTAAAGGTATATAGATAAATCTGTATCCAGTTGTACTACCAGAAATTTAAATGTTGGCCATGTATGCGTATGGATGGTATGGTAATTTATAAAGTAGAGAACTCTAACCTGTGTGGGTTATTGTAAAGGATTCAAACAATATAGTGAAATCAAATTGTACGATCTTGTATGAACGCGCAAGAATCTGTGATTGATCTCACTGTCTGATTGATTGACTTGGATCCATTCGTTTGAGCTAAAACTTTTAGAATGTAATAATTGTTATGAAATCTGTTATTGGAGAAAGTTTCAAATGGAGACTCGTTATTGCAGTTTTTTTTGCTAATATCCTGCAATATACTGAAAATCTAATAGAAAAATCATGAAAGGCTTTAGAGCACAAACATGTTTAATATTTTCATCATGACTATGAGTCCTACTTATGAGCTCGAACAGAGGATATCAGTTGGAGAAGTTCTCTCAATATCTATTTGCTGATAAATAGGACAAAAAAATGTTTGCTCATGTTTTTACCAGAGTCATACAAATTATATTTAAAAAACAAAACGATTAATATATTATCTAGTTTATATTTGATCAAAAATTTTCTTTTCTCTGAGTTATTATTCAAATCATAACACAAAAATTAGGAAATATTTGATACTTTTCGAGAAAATATCTATATGAAAAAAATATATATCTTCACAAATTTTTAGGTGTAGTAACAGAAATTGGTGATACGATTAGATGTTTTTTTAGTTTTACATTTGGTTCTTGTCGTTGTAACATTTTAGCAGCAGCAGCATGATGAAAGCCTGATTGATTAAATAAAAATGCACTAACATGTCCATGAGGAATATATCGAATATGAATACCAGGCCATACATCATTCATATGTGGAATACCATCACCAGGGTTACCAGATCTTCCGAAATGACAGGAAAAATTCCGAATTTTGACTTTTTTCCGACGCGCTCCGAATTTCTGAATTGGGATTCTTTTCCGAATTCCACTTTTTACTTCGCAATTTACTCAGATGAACATATAACAGTTGTTGACCTTTATCGAATTATTTCTGATTTAATTAAAAAAATTTGAACAACGACTGGATGATCATTATTTCGGCAATAAAGCACATACGATACTCAACTATTTAAAGATTCTGATAAGAATAAAGCTGAAGAATTACAACAATCATTTGAATCATTCATCAAAGTTACTATTGAATATAGTAATTCATATTTTGATAAAGATCGCAATTTCCATGAAAAATTATTGGTTTTTTGGTTGCCATTCTGTTTGATTTCTCATATGGGAATATGTTATGAACGTTCTTGATCTGATCAAGATTGATGATTCAAATAAAGATGAACTATATAATGAATATTGTGAACTAAAATTTATGTACGATAATTTGAAAAATAAAAATGTGACATGGAATAAATAATAAAATCATGTATTTCAAATAAAAATGCTCGTAATGCATAATCAACAGCATACAACGAAGGAAGTCGTTTATGTGATGACAGTGATAATGAAGATTTTTTATTACATGACAATAAAGACACAGACGAAAACATTCGTTCTGATCAGTTATGGTCATATTTAATAAATCTTAAAGATGCAACATCGAATATTCAAACAATTATATGTTACATTTTTTCTCTATTCCATATAGTAATCCACATGTTAAATCTATATTTAGTCAAATGAATTATTTATGGACCAATTATCGCAATCGTATGGATATCCAATTAGTTGCGGCGGAGTTGAAAATCCGAAAAAATTCAAATATTCCACGCAATAATTTTTATAAATCTATAATATCTCAACAAGATCTGTTAAAAGCCATAGCAACAAATAATAAGTTCGAAACGAGAATGGGTGTGGGTGAGCGGCGATGTAGGTGCGGATATATGAGTGAGAAGATGAAAATCCACACCTATCCACACACACTCTAGTTTTATTTTGAATCTGAAAATCTAAGAATGTAAACACTTCAGTTATAATGGGATCTTATTACTTTTGTGTAAGAGATTACAAATAGATGGGAAAAGGTTTACAAAAAATACTCTGGAATCATCCTGAAACATTTTTTTTAGCTCGTAGCCAGCGAAAAATCATTCTTGATGTTGATCCTATTGCCTAGAAACAGTATTTGTCGATGGTTCTCTTATGAAAAAGAAATTTAAGTCCTTAGTGCTGGTCAAAAGTTCAGCTTGTCTGGTAGGCAATTGATGGGAGATATTTAAATTTTTTATTGCCAAGTGATTTATGGGACAGTATATAAAATTTATATTGTTTTTTTTTCTCGAAAGCCTATATTTTCTAGAAAGCAATTGGTTTTAATAGTGAAATAACATTTCAACTTTTTTTCTCTATAAATCAATTGTATAAAAACAAATGATGAGTGATGTAGACAATATTCTTTTAACACAAATACCGTCAGTTTATTACCATAAATGTTAAAAAATTGACTTCAAATTTTTTTCCGAATTGATTAAAAAAATTTCCGAATTTCCCTGAATTTTCCGAATTTTTCTATAAGAAAATTCGATTTCTAAATTTTTTTATATGGCAACCCTGACCATCACGTAATACATAACCATCATGTGTACAACCAATAAATATAGCATTAGATATATTTGATTGAACTGAACATGAATAATTATATAAGATGTAAATTCATCCACAAGAAGACGCATCATATCTTTAATAAGATCGAGAACAATTTTATTTGAATCTATTGATCAATTTCGTTCATGTAAATAATCATAAAATGTTTGAGAGGCTTTATTTTCATAGAATTGTCGACAAGGTGGATCAGGCCATCTAAAATATAAATATATACACAATGGCTACCAAAATTATTCAACTTTTACTCAATAAAAAACCATCCTAGAGAGTTCAAGTACTAGATACTGAGAAATTAGGCTTTTGGGTTGTCTAAAAAAATCCTAACTTAGGGAATCAAATAATCAATGTTTTTAATTTATATTCTTTTTGTAATATGGTTTGCTCTACTTGAATCATTATTTAGAATTATGATAGATACTGTATATCCATTCATTAAATAGATCAAATAATAGAATTGAATCTTATTTTGTAAATGCTAATGAAGCCATATGTCCACCAAGAGAAAAACCATGTAGAATAGCTGATGTTAATTTCATTTTTTGACACCAATGAAGTAGCATAAGTGTTTCTAAAGCAAGTACTTCACCCATGATATATAAATCGATAACATACAATAATGATGAACGAGATTGATCTGGTGGTTTTCTTAAACCATAATATGGATTTTCAAGAAGAATTGAACCTATACGATATTGATTAATTAATGGAACTGCAGTTAGTAGCATTCGTCGACTAAAACCATGATTATCTCTGTTTCAGCATAAGAAATTCCTATTGAAATTGAATCAATACCAAAACGATGCTCACATGGTAAAACAAGTTGAAAATGAGCTGTAGCTACTTGAGGTGAAACCTATTCAAATAAATATAACAAAAGAAAAAAAGATAATATTAATTAAATGATTAAAATGATTTTAATTTCCTACCAAATGTAGTAAATAATTGGCAAGTGGTGCACGAAATCGAGCATTTGTATAATTTTGATTGCTGTTTATTTCTTGTTTAATTATTTCAACAGTATTTTGTTGTATATTTTCAGCTGGTACAAGTTTTAAACATTCGCCTCTTACATCAATTTTTTCACGTCGATAGGTAAAAATTTCTTGTAAATGAAATGGAATTGTTGATCTGATCTTCTTTTTCTTTAATCGAACAAAAAACGGGACAATACAATGCTTTAGTATTCTCAATGGTTTGTAAACACACACATACAAAAAAAACTGTTGTATGTTCTTTTTATTTTCCTAAATCAATCTCGTTACTTTACTATGAAAACAAAAAACAATATTTTTATTGCATAGCACCAGTAATGTTAAGTAAAATTTGAGGACCATGTGGTAAATAGACTCTATTTCTTGATTTTGATAATTGATTTGCAGTACCTTCAGCGGCTTCAATTCGTCGAAGTTCGATCAAACCTAACATGAATATTAAAACAAAGTAAGACAAGATAATAAAAGATATTCGAAAATTTACCATCACCAGCTTCATCTAAAACTTTGCCAATTAAATCAGCTGCGCGAGTATCACCTTCTGCTGCAATAACATTTGCTCGACGACTTTGTTCCGTCTGTTTTTTTTTATCAAAAAAAAACGAACTCATACAAATTTTATTCTTATCGATTTACTTTTTCAACTAAAAACCGTTGTTTTCCAACATCTTGTTGTGCAACTTGTTTTAATTCAACAGCACTTGTGAATTCAGGTCTAAAACTTAAATGTGTCTAATTTAAAGAAAAAAAACAATATAATCAACTCGAGACTCTTTTTTATCGTATCTTATAATTGAAATATCATCAAGTAATAAACCAAATTGAGCAGCACGTTCTGTTAATAATTCACTATTACGTTGCGAAATAAGTGTGCGTTGTGTAATCAATTCAATAGCATCAAATTGAGACTTAGTACAACAGATTTTAAAACTTCATTAATAATCGATGGTAAAACACGTTCTTCATAATCTAAACCCAAATTTGCAAAAACATTTTTGGTAAAAGTTCAGCTCTTGGTCGATAAAGAATACGTAATTTTATATTAATCGTTTGTAAATCCAACCGATCAGTTGAGTTACCATCGATGGCCGCAAAATTTTTTAAGATACCTCAGCCATATACATTCATTGATGTTTGAATAGACATCGTATTTACCTTCTTTTTTTTGCGAGCTTACATTTTCCTCACGTTTACCTCTCTCCTGAAGTTGACTGTTTTCTTCTAGCTTTTATACCTTTTATTTCTGTTATTGATAGAATAGATCGTGGTCGTGTACGAATATCAAATATAATTGGTCTATGAAGCCATGAAATCATAAAATGAGTTCCTTCTTCAATAACACCTAGCTTAACACCTTGGAAACAATCAAAAATAACAGCTCGATGACCATCATCAACTAGAATATATTTAAATTTAAAGAAAACAAGTTTTTTTAATCTTTTCAAATTTACCGTTATAAAGCATAGAATTAATCACACCACCAGCAATAGCTAAACCAATACCAATTCTTCTTAAAACGCTAAAGTCTTCTACTGAAATAAAATATTATCTCAATATCTTACCAATATTATTAAATAAAC